CTGATCACAACATAATCAGAACTCTAGTGTTTGACTCCCAGGTAACCAGAGTCCACCGCTCTCTGGCTATGTGACCTTGGCCAAGTTTCAACACTACTCCATGCCTCTATTTCCCCATCTGTAAAATAAAGAGGACATAATGGGACCTATTCACTGTTGTGAGAATTAAATGGGGGTAATCGAAATAAAGTGCGTAGAACAGCTCCTGACACAAAAATTGCTTCATATGTGTGGCTTATTTGTTTCTTTAATGTGGGAAAAAAATCAGTCTGGAAGACAGTGTGAACTGGTTCAGCATGGGATAAAATCAGGGAGAACAGAGAGCTCTTGAAGCAGCTTAGAAACGGGGACAGAAGGACAGAGAACAGGGAGCCCCAGAGTTCCCAGCCTCAGGAGGGAATGTGGAGGAGAGTTCCTCAAGGTTGACTGACCCGCAGTCAAATCCTGATTCCACCATTTGTTAACTGCGTTGCTTCAGTTAAATCTAGCATTCTAGCCTCGATATCTTCATCAGTAACATGGGATAATAATGCTCTCCGATAGAGTTGCTGTGAACACCTAAGTGAGATCATTTATGTAAAGCACTCAACATATTATTTTGCATATAATAAACAACAAATATCAATTCCCTTCCCTCTTTCTACCTCCCTAGAGATATATGAATATCCAGACCTTGATGCGATAAAGGGAAAAATTGAAGCAAATAAAGGAAACTGAGTCCTTCTTTTTAACGCACTGTTGTTTGGAACCACATTTATGTCTTTCCTGATCAGCACATTCCAGTTGGTAAATTATGTCTATGGTCTTAGACTCAAGGTCTGAAGACCCCAGTCAAGAATTAACTACTGACTAGCTGATTCTGCAAATCACTTAGTCTTTGAAACCTGTTTTGTTACTTGGTGAAAGATAAACAGGGTGGCTGGGCGAGGTGGCTCACGCCTATAATCTCAGGACTTTGGGAGGCTGAGGTAGAAGGATTGCTTGAGCCTAGGAGTTTGAGACCAGTCTAGGCAACACAGCCAGACCTCTGTCTCTACAGAAAGTCAAAACATTAGCTGGGCGTGGTGGCACACACCTGTAGTTTCAGCTACTCAGGAGGCTAAGGCAGAAAAGTTGCCTGAGCCCAGGAGGTTGAGCCATGATTGTGCCACTGCACTCCAGCCTAGGTGACAGACGAAGACTTGACTCAAAAAAAAAAAAAAAAAAAAGGTAAACAGTGACATCTACCCAACTGCTTTAATGGGAAGCTAGGGGTTCCCAAGCCCAAGTTTCTCCTCCAGCTATTTGTGTATTTACTTAGAGAGTAAAACAAAAATTACACTCAACTATCAAAAATCTAGCCATCTCTTTCACAACAAAGATGTCAGCACAGACTTCCAAATAAAAACCCTGAGAAGCCATTAAATGGAGTAAAAAAGAAAAAGGAGAAAGGGTCTGGGATTTTTCTCCTACCTAATTCAGTTTTGTGAAAAATAAAATTGTATCAAAGAATTAATATTTGACATAAGACATGTATTTATGCTGGATTCAAAGTTTCCAAGGGTAACTGTGAGAATCATTACTGTGCTAATTACATAACAGTAATGATCTTTCTTAGCATGTAGCTAGGAAACTGAAATGGAATAGCATCAAGATGAAATCATTCAGCATGATTTCAGTGTCAGAACCACAGTTTGATTGCTTCCAGCCAGTTTGAGTTCCCCCTTGTGTAAGGGGGTAACATGATTTGCACTTACTTGATCTTATATTACAGCAAGAAATCTAAGGGAAGATGGAAGAACGAGAGCTGCCTGGCAAAGTCCCAGATCTCTCCACCTGCTACGTGGTGACCTTCTGGACATTTTGCCTCCCTGGGTCTGTTGTTTCATTTACACAGTGATGATGTCCAAATGCATCATTTCCAATTTCCCTTTGCTTTGAAGCACTTAGAAGCATGATTCTAAGCCTTCTCTCTTGTACCAAAACTTTTCTCGCTCTCATTCTTAGCAGATGTTCTTAGGCTTTTTCATGACACTTTGCACGCCATGTTAGTTGCATCCTGAGAGCCTAGAAAGGCTCCGTGTTGCCCTGGAGCTGGTGGCATCAGCTAGGGAGAGCCTGTTGTTGGTGTTTCTTCCCAAGTCGCCTCCAGGAGCTTCATGTTAGTAGTTTGAAATCAATCATGGTGGGAATATTTACACCATGGAAATCAGCAAACACCACAAATCAAATCAGTGCTTTTTTCTTCTTCTTCTGGAAACCAGTTGTTATGTCTACCAACACACCACTGCCTGTGAGCCAAACCTTTCCACTTCCAAGTTAAACTTCTCTGCTGTGGTCCAACTACTGTATCTCACCAGCTCTCTGTGGTCATAACTCTACTGAGGTCCAAACACTGGCGTTGAATGCTAAAAGCATAGCAGGATAAGTTCAAAGGGTGAGTGGGTCCCACTGGTTAACCTTCAGTCCCCTGGACTCCTCCAGGTAGGACTGGCCCGTCCATGGGCATCAGCCCACGGGTGCTTATGAAGCAGATGGTGTGGATGTTCTCTTGGAGTGGATGTTCTCTTGGAGGTGGAAGAAATGATTCTGAACTGAAAAGAAATAAACCAATAGAAGGCAGAGAGACGTTCCCATGGGCCTTCCTAAAGGGCAGGAAACCAGGGGAGGAGTCCTGAGGTCTCACACATCCTTTAACCCTCTGATAATTAAACGGATGCTCTACTTTTACCCACATGCCTCTGCTCATGAGCTGCTTCAACCAAGAAATGGTTAAATAAGAATTATAGGCTCTAAAGTGGAAAATAAAATTATTGCCTGTTTTTTGTTTGTTTGGTTGGTTTTTATTGTTCACCATCTTCCTTCTTTCCCCAATATCTGTGCCTTTGAGGAGGAAGACATTAGTACGAGAAAGGCATCCTGCCGTCTAGAGGAAGGAGACATTCTTAAACCAAAAAGCACTTTTTGCTTAAATCACTATTGAGTAAGCTTAAAGAAAATTAGGAGCTGTCTGTGTACTGCCCAATATGGTAGCCAATAGCTCCGTGTGACTACTGTATACTTAAAATGAGACTTATGTGAATTGAAACATGCTGCAAGTACATAATACACACCAGGTTTTGAAGAGTTACTTTTGAGGAATGAATGTGAAAATATCCCAATAATTTTTAAATTGGATTAAACATTAACTGATCATATTTTGGAGATACTGGATTAAATAAAACATGAATAAAATAAATTACACCTATCTCTTAGTTTTTTTTTTTCTTTTTAAAATGTGGGCACATCATGTAACTAATTATGTTTCTGTTGGATTATGCTGGATTATGGAGTTCAGGTCTCATAAAAAGTCCTCAAATTGTTCAACCAGCTTCTGTCCAAAGACCTTCAGTGACTGGGAACTTATTACTCCTGAGCAGACAATTCCATTTGAGACAGCACAACCCTTAGAAGATTTTCCTGGTCTTCCTTTGGGACCATGAAGAATCCTTTAGTACCCTTGCTCAAGACAGACATCTTGAGAAAGGTGAAGATTGTGACAATGCCTTACCTTACCTTGCAGTCCCTCCAAGCCCGAGTTAGGCAGCTCTTTCTCCAGCACCAATGATTAGGAGAAATAATTTGCAGCCAGAACTAGGGTAAAATATCTCCTTGGGCTTCAAGAATCTTTTCTTAGCATTGTTTCATGGGAAATCTCTCTTTTAAATGCTGAATCGATGCTTTTACTGGACAATTCATTATTATTGCCGGGCAGGGGGAGTCACTGCTTTTAACAGTGAACGTTTATAAAGCACTTACTATGGGTCATACTCTGTTCTAAACTTCTTACATACTGTAATTCATTTCATCATCACAACTGACGGGGCAGGTAATATTCTCCGCATTTTACAGACATGAAAACCAAAGCACAAAGAAATAAAGTAGCTTGCCCAAGGTCACACAACTTGGAAGTAAGAGTGGGAGGGTAAAAACCACACTGCCTTGCCTTGTGTTTTTATAATCACTACTGCTTCGTGCCTATGATGATTTACCTTTGCTGTAGTCAAACATTCTCTCTCTAGGATGTTTCCTGTCCCACCATCACCTCAGTGCACAGAGGGTGCCACTGGCACAAGCTCTGCTCATATGTCTGGGCAACATAGTGAGATCACATCTCAGGAAAAAAAAAAAAAAGAAGTGAGGAGGATCAAGAACCAAAAAAAAATCAAAGTTGAAATCCTTTCTGTATCATCTCAAAAATAGAACCGGGAATGAAAATTCTCATTCAGAAGGCACTCTCATTCAGAAGTTGAAGCAAGTTGAGTCTAGAGACACAAAAAAGACAGACTCGAGAATGTTTCTGAGAATTTGAAAAACTCCGAATCTGTTTCCCATGATTAATCACCAGTCCCCCGGAAAAGAAGAAAAAAACAGGAATAAATCTGTTTATACAGCAGTTTGAACAATTTAGAATACAGATAAGGATGAACTTTCTAGCAATACAAAGTATGAGTATACTTTGTATTCAAATGGTTCACAGAAAAGAAAAATGAGTGTGGAAATGGCAGGGGATTGCTTTGAGGAGATGATCTGTGGTCCTCGCCTGACCTGATATGAAGGAGACATCAGGGGTGCCCTCCTTTTAGCCAAAGACAGCCAGAAGGCGTTTGTTGGGGGTGAGGTAGAAATATTGTGGACTGTAAACCAGGATGTGCAGCCCACAGAGCAGGAAATCCCTGCACGAATAAAATAGGGAAGGAGCAATGGAAGATGAGAGAAGAAGGAAGACTGGAGGTCTGTGGGGCCAGAGGCCAGGAAGCACCTGAGACCTGAAAAACAGCCTCTTCCCTCCTCCAGCTCCTGGCTGCCATGCCTGGTGGCCAGGGGGAAGCCACACACTGCACCGTGGGCTGTGTGGTACGGGGGAGTGGTGCCTTCCCCTTCCCACAGGTGTTGCAAGGAATCCTCTAAAACAAACCCAGAAGAGGAAGGTGGGACACAGGCCCCCAAGGCAGAGAGCCCCCACCTCAGAACAGACTTACCCAACAGTTGAACAGCACACGGAATGACAGAGACAAAAACCAGGAGCAGGGGCAGCCTCATGGCCCAGGGTTTATCCTTTTCTTCCACTGATGGAGAGGAGGGCGTAAAAAGAAACAAAACAGTGAGGGCATCCAGTGTCCCCTCCACCTAGTCCGAGTTCTCAGAGCTGCCCAGCTGAAAAGAAGTACAGAGAATGCCCTCCCTTTTAAAGGGCTCCTGAATTTAGGGAAAACCTCCAATGAGGAGATATCCCGTCACATGAGGGCGGTTGGAAAAACAGGAATTCAAAGTTACAACTTTGCTTCGTAAGCTAACTTCTGAGAAGAGCAGACACAGAGGAAGGAGAGAAAGGGACTTGTGGGAGAGGGATGATAGGGGTGGGGGAGGAGAGAGGCCTGGGCTGCTGGGACAAGGAGAAGTGAAACAGCCCAGGACTTCGTGGCCTTCTCAGATGGGGCTGGGTGGAGATCAAGCTGCAGGCCATTACCTGGGCCGGAAAACTGAGCTTCCCTTGGGAAGCCACCAAGTCAGGGGTCCCTCCGCAGACAACCTGCCCTCTCAAGTGTCAGAAGCCACAGGCGCTGAAAAGGACAATTTATGCTGAAAACGTTTACTTGAGAGTCGAAGCTGTTCCCTCTCATTCTCCGTATGCAGTGCTTAGAGACTTTTTTTGTTTTTGGGAAGTTTCTAAAGAAACCATTCACAGGAAGTTTTGCCCCTCTAGCTAGAAGAAAATTGAAAGACAGGGAAACCTAAGAGGAAATCTCAGGTCGAAATGGAGAAAGTTCTAGAAGCCATTCTTTAGAAAGTTCTCTAGAAAGCAAACAGTGGCAAAGGAGTTGCAATAAAGCTACCCTGCCTGAACCATGGTGGTCCTCTTCAAGTTTTGGAGGGTCCCTCTTGCTAGAAGAAAATCTGGATATTTGGTCAAAAGATGTATATTGATTTCATAATAAATGAAATTCTTTCTTAAAATAAAAAAGTTAATTGATCATTCATGAAGTATTAAATAAAAGAAACCCAAACATCTATTTTGTTATTTTTCAGAAGCAAAACATGAATTAAAAGCATTTTAAAGCAGAAACTAACAGTTAGATAGTTGACCCATACTGGAGTGTGGAAAATGTTAGTAATTTAAAAAGAAGCTGCTGGAAACATTATATTTTTTGAAATTTTAAATGAGTAGTTTATCTACAAATAAAAACCCTCCATATTCACCATCATTTTGACAGTTATGAACTTTACTTCCTAGTAAAAAATGTGATACAAATCATTAACTGTTTTTTAACATTTTAAATCTAAAAGTATTTCGATCAGGAGAAAAACAGTGGTGAAAAATGTAGGACAGAGGACTGATGTTTCTTTTTCACTAAGCCAATGTTTAACTGACAAAGACGGTTCTGTTGGTTACAGAACAGATACAACAAATTTTTTTTTCTAAAACACTGTTTCACTAATTTATCATGCAAAAAAAAAAATGTAATGGGTCCCTTGTGGCTTTTGAATGTAAATAAATCATATCCAAAATGTTGCTGCCAAATTCAGATTTATATAGACTTCAGATGTGAATAAAATTTAATTGAATTATCTCTACAATCACATTCAGAGTTTGTTAATCACACAAGTGTGTCATATCACATTTGCGTAATTAAAAATCAAGATCAAAAGTAAAAATCTGTGGCTTTAAAGCTTTGAAACAAAGTGAAGTCAACTGTCCCACAAAGGATTCATCTTACGACATTGACTTTATTGAAACAGAGATTTACCAGGCTGGAAGAGATGACTAGGGCAAAAAAATAATCTAGCCCTCAGGGGAGGGGCATCATGGACGATGGTACAGTAGGAAGCCCCAGGAGCCCACCTCTCTACCCCCGAATAACCAGTGAACTCTCAGGATGGGGTTACATCCCAATAAATCCATTGTGAGCTGAGATATAGTAAGTCAAAAATACAGAATATGCATAATCTACAAAACATCATACCTTAGCCTAGCCTACCTTGAACTCCCGCAGAACACTTATATTGGCCTACTATTAGACAAAATTGTCTAACACCACACTTTTTTTTAATTTTTTAATTTTTATTTTTTTTGAGTTGGCATCTCACTCTGTTGCCCAGGCTGGAGTGCAGCGGCACGCTCATGGCCACTGCAGTCTCGACCTGCTGGGCTCTGGTTGTCCTTCTGCCTCAGCCTTTCAAGCAGCTGGAACTACAGGCACGCGTTATCATGCCCGGCTAACTTTTTATTTATTATAGAGACGGGGCTATTATATATATATTTCAAAAGTCTTGAATATCTCATGGAGTGTATTAACTACTGTACTGAAAGTGGAAAACAAAATGGTTATATGGGTCCTCAAAGTACGGTTTCCACTGAACGTGTATTACTTTTGCGCCATCGTAAATTTGAAAAATCCTAAGTCGGAGACCATTTTGGAATTCAGAGTCTAGTCAAAAACTTGGAGCATCCATGGGAGAGTTTGAAAAAGAGGTTGGTAAATTTTAGTGAGTTTCCCTCGTGATTATGACTGCTATTCTCCATCCTTCAAGCCCTTCTGGGGCAGTGTTGAGGGTAACAGCCCACACATCTGGTAACAGCTCACTGGAATAGGGTGGGTAACAAAGACCTTGCCTTTCCAATGTCAGGACTGTGTCCCAAGGCAGACAAATGTTTTTAATTGTTTTCACTACTTCTCTTCAACACAGTACTGAAAGTCCTAGCTAGAGCATATAGGCAAAAAAAAATCCAAATTGGAAAGGAAGAAGTGAAATTATCTCAGTCCACAGATGGCCTGATTTTACATGTAGAAAGTCCTAAAGCCTCCACACACAAAAAAAAAACCCTGTAGAATTAATAAATTCAACAAAGTGGCAAGACATGAAATCAGAACACAAAAATCAGCTGTAGTCCAATATACCTGTAATGAACAATCTGAAAAGGAAATTAGGAAAACAATTCCTTGTGCAATAGCATCAAAAAAATAAAATACTTAGGAATAAATTTAAACAAATAGGCAGAAGACTGGTATACTGAAAACTATAAAACATTGCTGAAAGAAATTTAGGTCTAAATAAATGGAAAAGTACCCTGTGTTCATGAAATGAAAGACTTAATATTGCTGAGATGGCTAGGTTTGGTAGCTCAGCCTGTCATCCCAGCACTTTAGGAAGCCGAGGCGAGTGGATTGCCTGAGTCCATGGGTTCGAGACCAGCCCGGGCAATTTGGTAGTGGGTGCCTGTAGTTCCAGCTAAATTAAAATAATATATATATATATATATATATTGCTGAGATGACAATATTACCCAAAGCAATATATAGATTTGTATAATGCCTATCAAAATCCCAACTGTGTTTTTCGTAGAAATAGAGAACACCATTCTAAAACTCATATAGACTCTCAAAGGACTTAACATAAACAAAACAATCTTGAACAAGAACAAAACTGAAGACTCATACTTCCTGATTTCAAAACTTACTACAAAATTATAGTAATCTAAACAGTGTGGTATTGGCATAAGTGCCGATATATAGTCCAATAGAATAGAATAGAGAGCCCCAAAGTAATCCCTCACATATGTAGTCAGTTGATTTCCAACAAGGTGCCAAGACCACTCAGGAAAGGACAGTGTTATCAACAAATGGTACTGGGAAAACTGGCCATCCATATGCAAAAGAGGAAGTTGGACTCTTACCTTACACCATATACAAAAGTTAATCCAAAATGGATTAAAGACCTAAGCATAAAAGCTAAAACTATAAAAACTCTTAGAAGAAAACGTTAGGAAAATTCTTCATGACTTTGGATTTGATCGTACTTTTTTTGCACAGGCAACGAGAGAAGAATAAGTAAATAGGCCTTTATCAAAGTTAAAAACTTTTGTGTATCAAAAAGCACATCTAGAAATTTTTAAAATAACCTGAAAAATAATAGAAAATATTTTTAAATTATGATAAGGGATTCATATCTAGAATACATACAAAAACTTCAACTCAACAACCACCACAACAAATCAATTAAAAACGGTCAGGAGACATGAATAGACCTTTCTTTGAAAAGGTTATACAAATGGCCAGTAAGTACTTGAAAAGATGCTCAATATCATTAGTCATTAGGGAAATGCAAATCAAAACTACAATGAGATACTATTTTACACCCAAAATAATGACTTTTACCAACAAATAGAAAATTAACAAGTGTTGATAAGAATCTGGAGAAGTTGAAACCCTTGGGCATTGCTGGTTGGAATGTAAAATGGCTTAGCCACCATGGAAAACAATTTGTCAGTTCCTCACAAAGTTAAACATAGAACAATCATAGGATTCAGTAAGTATATTCTTGGAATATATTCTAGGTATATACTCACAGTAATTCAAAACAGAAACTTGAAGAAGTATGTGTACATCAATGTTCAAAGAGGTATTATTTGTGACAGCCAAAAAGTGAAACAACTCAGTTGTCTATTAGCAGAAAAATGAACAAAATTTGGCATATACAAGGATTGACAATTAAATTTGTGAACTCATCCTGAAAAAGTGCTACATACTTCATTGCTGAATATCACCTCAGTCACCTTCAAAGTACTCCCCTTGGGAAGTTATGCACCAGTGCCAGTGTCTCGTCCACCCATCAAAGCATTTTTGAAACTCTGGAATGGTCATGAGAGCTGTCATCATATTACCCTTGATGTCCTGAATGTCATCAGAATGTCTTCCTTTCAATATTTCCTTTATCTTCTGGTAAAGAAAAAAAGTCATTGGGGGCCAGATCAGGTGAGTAGGGAGGGTGTTGCAGTACAGTTACTTGTTTACTGGCTAAAAGCTTCCCTCACAGACAGTGCTGTGTGAGCTGGTGCATTGTTGTGATACAGGAGCTCCTTTGGGACCATTTTTGCACACATCTTTCCATGCCAAGATTTTCAGTTAAGATTTTCCTGTTTCTCCGTCACTGCTCATTTGGTCTACTATGCTTCCCATGTCAGCCAATGATTTTAAATCACAGTTTGACACATTTTTGCAATGTTTTCATCAGTTCTGCTCCTGACTGCAGTCCTGACCTCTCCATTAGTGACACTTTCTGTCCCCTCAGAAAAATGTTCAATCCATTTGCACAATGCAATTTTCTTCATGACATTGTCCTCATAAACTTGAACTAACATGTCCCTGATTTCACTTCCATTCTTGTCAAGTTTAACAAGAAATTTAATGTTTGTTCATTGCTCTATTTCAAACTCCAACATTCTCGAAACGACAGCTCTGATGGTCATTCCAGAAAAAGA